TGAATGAAACCTGCAAGATTGTAGGTTATTCTTATTCTCAAAATAGTTCTTAGACCTCAGCTTGTTTAAATGCAGGGTATGTTAAATATTTAGGAAAGGCTGCGAGGAAGGTTTTGGTTTCCTTCAGTGTCTTGTCTGGTATTTTATTAACAAAGGATTTCTTGTGGCAGTTGGTTTTTCTCGTTTTAAACTTTGAGCCTGATGGAGATGTGGGAACACTTGGCCTTTCCAGAAGAAAAGATGTGGTGGGGTTGTGGTTTTTCAAGACTGTGGAGGGATTTGGTGGTTTTAGGATGGCATGGATGTTTTTAATTTTTAATTTAGTATAAAACTGTAAAAAGTGTTAGCAGCAAAAGAACTGGGAATACTTTACCTTCTGAGGACTTTTTTTTGTGTTGAAAAGATTTCTCTCTTAGATCCTTGCAAGCATGACTTTTTCTTCTGAAATCTGAATTTTTGTCATCTTGGGAAATTTTTAAAGATTTCACACTGTTTTCAGTATCTTGATCTTTTTTAGTTGAATATATTGCAAGACATTATCAAAGCTGATATCCTTAAAATGTTAGGATGACAAACATGTTTCACACACTTCACTTTTTAATGAGGTAAAGAAAAAGAGACTTCTCTATTATGTGCCCACACTGAGCATCTGGAGGATCAGAGTGAGTGGTTCACAGAATATTCCTATTAAACAGTTGAAATGCTGCTTATTATTAGCTAAAGCTAGATGGGCTAATAGGAGGTGGAGGCGTTGCTGTGATGCCCTTGTCCTCAGAGCACACTGTGTATTCCTCAGTGCCCTTTGGACTTCACTGAGGTAGAACAGCTTGCAGTGTTTTGTTATTTAAAAAAGTGTGTAGTGGTTACAAACTGATCAAGATTGTATAAAAACACCAGTTTTTAATTCCTTCTCTTTTCTTGAGCAAATGACATCTTGAAGGTCAGCAACAATTCAGTCCACCCTTCAGAGAATGGGTTTTTTCCTCCAGCCTTCCCAGGCTAATGAAAGCCCTTTGAGAAAAATCCCATCAAAGACTTCAGCAGCCTTGACTTCTCCACCCTGGACACTGCACAAGTCCATTCACATGGAGACCTTTGAGAGCACATAAAGCTTTAAGCCATGAGTACTCCCTGAGCTGGAGTGACTTTTTTTTTTTTTGAGTGGTAATTCAAGCTGACTGTCTTGGTCAGAACATTTTGACCAAAAGCACAGTCCTGAGAAAAGTGGAGGGAACGGTTCGTACCCTGTGGTTATAGAGCAGTTAGCTCATGAACCAAAATGGATCATTACTATCATTCAGTTAGTGTTATCAGGAAAACTGTCAGATTTAAATGCTTAAGAGAGCTCTTGTAGCTGTTGCCATGGTAATATCAGAAAAGCAACGTGCTAATGTTCATCCACATCCCATATTCAGTTAAATTCCTTTGCAGTCTTTTAACTGTGAAAGGAAGGTACCATATTGTACCAGGCTCTGTTTCTTTTGAGCTGGAACAAATGAAGGCTGAATTTAACTCTTGGTGTGAAGATGAAATACAAATCCTAGGCACAAGGGATCTAATTTGCTTTGCTCTTGGTTTGCTTGTGTACCATGTGTAAAGTACTCTCTGTGGAGTTACTGATGTGCTGTTCATGCCATGGTGTCATGACTTGGAATTTGGTTTGGGCTTTAATAAAACACATGCGCTGCAGTCACAAACTAAACGTTTTGTTAGAATGGATTTACCTCATATGTAAATCTTCTCTAAGTGCAGAAGTGTGAACAGTTATGACTAGAATTCCAGATCCTGCTTTCTCATTTGGCCTTGCTTTTGTAACGCTTTTCCCTGCCACTGAACCTGCCACTGAGCCTGCCCTGTGTTTCCAACCTGTGTGGTGTTCATCAGCTGTGCATTTTTAGTTTCACTCTTCTGTTTTCTGACATTCAAGCTCCTTTTTCACTGACAAGAAGTTGTTTTCCAGAGCCCTCCCCCAGCCTCCTGCCCTGGAAAGCCTTTGCCTTCCCTCTTGGTAGGAAGCAGAGCCCACGTCCTGTCCTTGCTGACCTACATTTGCACAGTGCAGCATTTCAGAGCTGGCCGTGCAGCTTCCCTGCCTCCCTCCTTCCCCGGGGCTGCCCGTGCAGTGGCTGGGGAAGGGAGGCAGGCCTGGATGGGCTGGAGATGGGATCTGTAGAATAACAGCCAGTGCCACGTCCAGAACATGTGCTCAGCAAGGGGGGTGATACTGTGCCCCGAGTCACATCCTGTTTTGGAAGGACAATCTGAAATGAAAAGGACAATCATGCTCTTCATTGAGAGGTGCAGTTCTCACAGTGTAACTGAGCGATTGTCCAATATTTGCTTATTTGTGCTGTTCGACCGCAAAAGAAGGATTGAGAAACAGCATCTAAAATTGGGAAAATATGGCAACAACAAGTGATGATTTTGCAAATTAGTTACAAGCCTGTTCTTTCCAAAAGCACAAATGGAAGGAGTAGTAGCTCCTATATTAGCATCTTCCCTCTCCCTTTCATTTCCTACTCGCAAGTTTCCATGCATTGCAATGAGAATTCATTCAAGGGAAAAGGTTTTCTTGCCCTGTGGGATTATGTAGGTATTTTAGATTGATGTGTGATTAGGGACTGTGTTAACATAGCAGGAAAATAAGTGGGAAGAGGGAGGCAGTCTTCAGTAATGGCCTTTAGGTGCTTCCCTCCCCTCCAGTGCCTGATTTAGCTTGAGCTTGGAGACAGTTAATGCATGTCTTTACATGTTGATATATTCTGAAAATATTTTGTAAATGAGGACTGACACGTTTAATATTACTGCACTGCAAAGAAAAGCAGATTCTAAATTGCTGTTCTAGTAAGGTTAACCTGAAAAGCAGTCTGTCTCATCTCTTCTAGATCACTGCCATCCCATAATTTAAGTCTATAAATTTAAGTGAAGATCTTAGTGGGCACTGAATTTTCTCTCAGAACAACCACTGATGCTTGGAAGTACTATGACATGTAATTTTGAAAATTTAGAACGATTGCAAACTTTACCTATGAAAGATCTCTCGGTGACTGAGGATAGGATCAGTTTTACTACATCAAAAGCTGTAGTTGCACATTTTGTATTCTTAATTCTACTGGTGTGGGATGTGCAAATATCTCATACCACTGATTTAACTGGAGATGTGAAAGGAACAGTTCTGTTGTTCAATAACAACTTTTTTTTTTTTTGTGGGACTTCATTATGGTCCTATATATCAATGTGTAAACCTTTATTAAGCTGAAAGTTAAATAAACACGGGGAAGTGATGGAATTCCAATTTCTGGTTCTTGTTACCAGGCCAGCTTTTCTAAGATTTTTCTTTGCCATAATAATGGTGCTGATGTCACGATTTTTTTCTCCCATCATAACTTTTGAACCATTAGGACTTTTTATATTTGTTTTCAACCTGAAGCAGACATACAGAGAAGTAAAAACATTTAAAGCAAGTATTATACAAACTCTTGTACTTCTGTATTCTATGAATAGTTGTATCCTTTACTGCATTGCAGACATGTTTTTAGCTATAAGTTTGTATGCTATTGCTAATGAAAAATGCTTTTTTTCCCTTGCCGTATGGGGAAAGAAAGTGTGAGAACTTGTCCAAGCTTTTAATGATATAATTAATTATTGCACTATTTTTAACATGAACTGTTTTTATATTCTAGTAGTGTGAGCAAATAGCTTAAACACAAGCTAGAAAACTGTAAAACATTCAGAGAAAAGAATGTAGAGCGTTCATTCTGTAATTGCATATTTCGTCATACAAAATGATTCCCTTTTGTTTCTGAAAGCTTTGCAACAAACTGTATGAAAACAGTACTTGGATGCAAATGTTTTTAGTAGCCTTTGACCATCTTGATAAGGATTCAAGTATGTTTATAAAGGAGTTTCAACTTACACCCAAACATTAATACAAATTTAAAAAAACATGTCGAGCTCTTAAAAGGGCATTAAGAATGGCTTTTAATTTAGCATTCTGGTGCTCCTCACTAGTCCTGTAAGTAGCAGGAGGTTTGGTATGCTGAACTCACAGGCATTGTGCCGTGGTTCTGCCAAGCTTGGGCAGATCAGCGTCATGTAGGAGCTCCAAAGCCCAGCGCCCAAGAGGTGGTTTGGCTGCCAAACTTGATGATTCCAGTGCCAAACTATTTAAGGTTTAGTATTAACCTCTTGGACTACAGCCAGGAGCCAGAAGAGCATTTAGGACTAGCCAGAGTTGGTAAAATCAAGTACATCACAGTGGAGCTGGAAAGTGCCAAGGCCTGGGAGCAGGGCTGAAGTCCTCTCCAGGCGTCTGGATTGTGTCCTTGGCCAGCACTGCCTGGGCAGGGGCCACTTATGGCATTGGACATTTTCCACAGCTCAGTCCTCTGCAGCAGCTGGCTTCCCACACTGGCTCTGGGGGTCTAGAGCTAGCACTGCAGTGCAGAGCCTGCCTGCAGAGACCTTCAGCCAGGTGCCTTCAGCTGCATGTCAGCTGTGGCCTGTGCCAGCTGGGAGCAAGCAGCACATGGAGTGGGGAGAACCGCACTGGGGGCTGAAAGCACTCTCCCTAAACGTCTGTCCAGGACAGTCTCTCACACGAATGCCAACAGGCATCCTGTAAACTGACTGGATGAACTTTCAGTTTAGTCAGAGAAATCTCTGCAGAAGAGAGTTGCTATTTTTACAGGTATTTGCTTTGCCCCAAACCAGGCATTTATATGATCTGAGGTGTGTTGGAAATGCAGAAATGCACAATTAGCACACCGCAAATACAACAGAGAAAAAGATTTAGTGGAAGATCAGCAAAAAAATGCTGTCGAGCAAATTCCCATCTCCACCTTCTGAAGGACCTACTGGAATTGCTTCAGAGGTGCATCCAGTGCCTTGCAGTCTGTTGACATGTGAGAGTTGCTGCAGACAGACAGCCCAAGAGCTGCTGAGAATGGTCAGTAAGATGATTTGTCTTCCCATTACAAAGGAGAAAACCCTGCTGTGATCTCTGTACTGTGCATGGTAACCAGGCTTCAAGGACTAGGAAACACTAGAAAAACCTAGTAATGCTAAAGTTAGAAATTTCTTTCTTCCTGAGCCGCTTTCCCAGAAAAAGTAAAATCTTAAGACCATAAATATAATCAATTTTATTAAATAATAAAAGTACATCAAATATTTGTATTTTCTCCAATTAATAAGTCCCAGTCAAACAGAAAACTAATTGCAGTTTGATCATTTGCTGATGATCAGAGGTGGGTATTGCTTACCCTGGCACTGTGACAAGCAGTAATAACCTGAATTTGATACAACTCTGCTGTAACAGTTGGAAAATAAGCTTTAAAAGTTCTGTTTGTTAGAAAACTGCAAACCTGTAAATAGATTTAACCCACTTCTCACAATTTATTTTCAGTGGTACGTGTTGTGACTTTAAATTGCTTAGGTTTTGTTCCTGCCCATATTGCTGGCTGGAACTCTCAATCTTATTGTGACCTAGTTTTCCCCACCTATAAACTCAGGTGTGGGGCTTAATTTTCTCCAGCAGATGTGCTTTCACTTGGCTGACTCTTGCTTTTTGTCAGACAGGAAAGAGCAAAACAACACGTTTGATTACTTTTCTCCCACTTTGCAAAAAATGAAATTTTGTCAAGGGTAGTGCAAGACTGGAACTTATGTTTTAATTTCTCATCAGCCTTTGAGTTACCTTGAGGTTATGTAGGAAAATTAATAGCAGATCCAATGAATTTGCATGAAGGTTCCAAGTGCAATGAATGTTACTTGGCACCAGATCTTAGGAGCTTGCCCTGTGACATCTAGAGAATGAAGTAACTTTCAGTCAGCTCTTTGTGAACTGAAAGTTGCATCCAGAACACCACTTGAATTTCTGAAGATGATTCTTCAGAATCATCAAAGCAACTTTGCAACTTTGATTTCATTTATCTCTCCTTCCAAACCAAATAAGCAAACTTGTGAAAACTGGACCTACTTCAAGGGAGTACATTCTTAGTGCTTTAGAATTTATTGGTAGTGTCTCACTAAATTGTGACATTGCTAAATGTGTGGTACATTAAAATAGTGTGTAATAATTGTCATGTGGCATTTGAAGGTAAAACTGACCTGCCCTTTGTGCAATTCCTTAGTTTTTAATTTTTCATTTTATAGCAGTTCTGGATAATAAGAAATTACATGGAAGAGAACTAGAGCTATGAATGCACTCCTTAAAATAAAAATTTTAGTGTGGAAAATATGCTCAATTATATTTTACTGGCACATGAATCAGCAATTGTACCACCAAAGTGTGCATGCTTATTATTGCATGTTAACACAGAAATCCTTATACACCATCTTGTCATTTTTTCAGCTTAATCTCGAATTCGCTGGGAAAACCTTTTGGTTATAATTTCATCATATTCAAGAGCTATAATTTTTTTTTTTAACTTAAAAAAATAATTTCCCTCCTGCACTGTGTGCTGGGCTCGGAGCTGGGGCTGCTGGCCGCTCCCTGTCCATGCGTTGAGCGCTGTTTATGTACACGTGCCGCGGGCGGGCGCTGCGTGCCCTCAGTGCAGTCTGCGGTGGCGGTACCTGCCGGCCTTGTCCTTGGCCGCGTTGGCGCAGGCGTTGTGCTTGTTCTGCTGTAAGTGGTTCCAGTATTTGATCAGTTCGCTAGGTTGGAACTGATGGGAGGTAATTAGGTGGCTGTATTTACAGCTGGAGTAAGAAACTCGCCAGTGATTGAAGACAAACTCGTTGGGTGGGGGCATGGGGTCAATCCGCAGCTTGGCGAGACAGATCCCCACGTACACGTCCTCTAAATGTAAACGTCTGATGCTTAAGGAGACCTTAAAGATTTTCTCTGCCAAGTCTCCAGAAAAAACATAACCGGTTCCAGAGCAGAATACGGGGTAACGTTCACTTGGATACAAATCAGGTGGCATATACCACTTGCTATCCTTGTTCCTGTTAGGTGCATAACCTCTCATTAAATAACCTGTAAAATACTTGTGCCTCGGAGGAAGTTCTGGTTTCAGAAGCTTGTGTATTAAATATTCAGTATTGACAAACATATCACTATCAGTTTTCATAACATACGGAACACGTGGACAGTAGGTTGCAACCCAGTTCATTCCCATCAGAGTTTTTATAGTTAAATTATAGTAGGTGTCGAAGTATTCTTGTTGAATGATGTCGTGGTACTGTCTGCTTTCCTCGAGGATGGTTCTCTGGAGGTATCCATCTACCTTGGTGCTTAAGCCCAACAAAAAGATCCGCACGATTTGGTTGCCAGGTGTCAGGCTCTCGTTGCCCCAGGTCTGTCGAATCGCTTGTCTGGCCTCCACCTGGCCTGGCTCTGCAGCTATGAGCAGTATTAGAAAAGGGGTTTTTTCCTGGCACTTGGCAGGCTCGTTGATGACATATTTGAAATGATAGGAAGTTGGATGCCCAGTGCCTTTCTCGTTGTAAATACTTCCATTGGCACTGAGGGTGTTTTCCAAACCGGTTACTCCCTGCGGGGACAGATCCGTGTTGTTGGGGTTGGTGACTGTCTGAGGCCTGAGTGTCTGAGGCACAGCATCTCTCCACACGTTCCTCAGAGAGCTGTGGTTGGTCTCACTTTTTGTAGATCTAAATCCTCGTATGGTGTAAGACATGGGGTTTTCTCTGAATCCAGCCTTGCCTGGCAGCCAGTCGTGATGGTTAAAGAACAGAAACATGGCAAAAAGAAACACCAGAGAGACCAGGCCAATGAGATGGGTGCGAAACAGAGACCTTTTGGTATTCCAGGTCATCTTTGCCAAGCAGCAGTGTCGTCTTCTCCACTGAAGCATGTTGTAAGGATCCAGTGATGGGATATGAGACAATGCCCAGGGAAAAGGCTTTTTCAATTGGTTTAGAATCCACTGCTATTCTTTGGTATTCATTTTCCTTTGAGTTGAGCAATCGTCTGCAAATGGCTCACTCTGCAAAGAATAAAAAAAAAATCAGAAATCTTTCATTTTACACACTTGTAATATAAACAGTTACAAATAGAAACGAGATATAAACATAGAATTGAGTTAAATTTACTTTTTCAAAGAACAGCCCATGTCAATGGAAATAAGATTTGACTTAGGCTAAAAGCCAACCTTGTTTTATGATTTAACTTGGTTTGTTAGCTTTTAAAAATGCTTTTTTTACCTGGTAAAGTTTCGACAAACATCCTGGATACCAGAGATAAAGAGGCAAAAAAAATGGATCATGTTAGCAGCAAAAAGTGTGAAGTAGATGTAAATAGCTTCATATCCATGGCTGTGAAATCCTTGTAGAGTGTTTGAGAAGGACTGAATGAGAAAGCCTTGCTGGCAGATGGAAGGTTTAATGGCATTAATTAAAATTGATTTGACATGCAGAGGCTAGGATGGCTCACAGTTTTAAAGCCCTTTCTGCAAACGGCCATGCCTGGTGGTGGGACAGACGGCGCGGGCTTGGCGATGGCAGAGCTGTGTTAGTCACAGGACACTGCCTGGCGCGTCTCCACCGGCCCCCACTGTGCAAGGAAGGTCAGCGAGAAGATGCACCTGTCAAAATTAATTTTCAGGGTCCAGTAAGCTCACTGCACAGCCCTCAGATGCTAGTGCAGGATAACATTCCTGGTCGCTTCTCAGGCACCTTTCACCTTCTACTCTGCATTGGAGGAAAACACTGAATGGAACACTGGGCTGTGGTGCCAGCCTCAAAAGCAGCTGAATTAAAATTAAGCTCTTGATTTTCAGTAGACAGATCTTGGGTAGTGATCATGTTAACTGGAAATAAAACTGCTCAGGACTAAGTTTCTGGCCAGCTATCTGATGATCATGATACTGGGTTGGGTTTCTTCCCCTCTATAAAAGTATATGTAAGTACTGCACATAGCAGTTGGAAATTTCAAGTATTCTGACCAGCAGCTGTAGCTGTAGGAAAAAAGTGCCAAAGTAGTCTGTGCTTCATTTTCTCTTAAATTTTTGTTCATATTCAGCAGCAGAGTCAATATGGCAGCTTCATGATGCTGCATATTAAAAGCTGATCACATCATCTCGTAAATGAACTTTCACTGTACAATAGCAATTCGTTTGTGATTTTCAATTTGCTCTAATTTATTCCTGGGCCCTAGGGTCTTGTATAGGAAAAAAGGATGACAGTGGAACAAGAGTCCATAGAAAATGCCGTTTCTAATAGAAATATGCGATTTATTAATTGCTTCGCTATCTTCTTAAACCAATATTTGGATTAATTTGTGCATTTAAAAGCCAAGTGATATGTTACATGGGAAATTACAGTGTTTAACGCTGTAAGGGAATAATTTAAGATGAGATGTCAATCGAATAATAGGGTATTAAGCTGTATGTGTGTGATGCAACACTGAGTCCGCCCTGTTCACGAAAGGGAATATTTGTGTTTCGGAAGGGTGGGGAGAGGGGTTCACCTGGTGTTTATTTTACTTACTGCCGGTATCGTTACCATCACCCTCCGCAGAAGCGGCAGCTGCCTCACGGCCCGCCGCCGCCCCGTGACCCCCGCCAGGGGGCGACGCCGCGCGCCCAGTGTGACGCGGGAAGGGCGCGCGCCGCGATCCTCCGGGAACGGCCGAGCCCGGCCCGAGAACGGCCGAGCCCGGCCCGGGAACGGCCGAGCCCGGCCCAGGGCGCTCCGGCTGCTTCCGTTCGTTTGGTTTTAAAGTATCGGATTTTCTTATTTAGCTATTCGGGGCTGGTGCCACTTGCCGGAGACTCAGCTGTCTCTGTAAAAATCTGTAAAAATCATAAACCCTTGTGTCTAAACTAGTTCAGGAATTAACCTGACGCTCCATGCTGGCGCTGCTTTAACTTAATGTAAAAGAAGGTGAGCCCCAAACGTGTGAGACTCGTGTTTATGTGACCATTTGCACCTGCCTTTCCCTGCTGGAAAAACAGACGCTTCCCCTCAAAACTCGTTAGTTTGTGTGCAGTGAGTTGCAGATGAACGCTCAGCTATTCGGGAATATCTCTGTAAAAGCAAACAGAAATGTCGCTTCAAAGGATAGCCCAGATCTCGGGGCAGTTCATTGTTTGATTGGAGGGCAGCAGTGGGCATGTTTGATTAATTATTGTTCCATTGCATGCATTCACAGTTTAGGAAGAAAATCAAAGCCGGAATTTCACGAATGTGGAGCAGCAGCTAGAACTCCCATTAATTTTGTCACACTGAATTGTTCCACTTACAAAACTACAGTCATTAGATGGAAACACTTCAGCAAAAAGTGCGCTGTCCTACTAATCTTTGGTTAATCTGAGGCAGTGTTTTGATGAGCGCCTACTTCCACAAGGCAACAGGCAAAAGTGAGAATCTTAAGCTCCATAAATATTTGTGTGAACTGACAGCGGATTGCAGGTGCTGTGTTTCCCTGATGCACTGATGTCCCAGCACAGGCACTGGCGATGGCAGAAGCCTTGCTTTATTAGGCTGCATGCTTACATAATGCATTTGAAAATAAGTTTTACAGTGAGGGACAGAACTAGAATCAAGATATTTTAAGAGAGTCATGTTTCCTTGATATTTTTTTAACGTAGTTGCTTGATTTTTTCAAGGTAGGAGTGTCTTAGAAAATCTGTCTCTGTTTGCCCTTTAAAACAGCATTTTATGAATAGGGGAAGCACCCACATCTGTATTTCAGCTTCACAGAACTATTGACTGAAAAAAACCCAAATAACGTGGGCTCATTTTCTTTGCAGTTGTGTATAGAACATTTCAAAATATGCAGTGGGGTGTTAAGCATGGAAAACACAGCAACAACAATGGCACCTTTGAAAAAAATACTACATGCTAGGGTGTATTGTTTAAGAAAAATGTATAAAACTGTCAATAGATATTAAACCCACCATCTAATTGTATAATAAAAATATTATTTTCTATCACGTAATTAGGGCTAGAGCATTACTTTTGCCCAAATACTTAAAATTCCATTTCAGAGAATGGTTATGAACAGACACCAACTATTGACAGTCAATAAGAAAACCTAAGTACAGCAGAGGGTCTCTAGAACACTCACCTTGTCCTCGGGGAGTGTGTTGTTTCATGTAACTGCATTTTGGACATATTATTTGTGATAATGCTGCTTCATTTTTGGCACCTAGCAGTGCAGTCACTGATGCATTATCAAATGCCAAATACATAAACTGTGAATGCCTCTTGAATTTTTATTTGTGGTCTGTGCTCTGCTGGTGTTTTGGTTCCTGGTACTTGCAGTTCTGCTCTGTAATTACAGCTTTGAAAATTGAAGCATTTGACTTCCTATTCACACGTCTTGGATTTTCATATTTTGATTAGCTGTGTGGGCAAACTCTTAAATTAGAGGGAAGAGTTCAAAAGGCAGCCTGAGTCTGTATTCTGATGAACAGCAGTTGCATATTGGGCCTCATTTAATGTGCCTGACTTCCCTTACGAGCTCCATTAATCTTCTGCACAAAACAGTATTTGGCATAAGGTTTGATGTGCAGGTTTTTAATGCCTGATACCAACGTCTTACATTAGCCAGGTGTGCTTCTCCTGGAGTGTTGCCTGAAGGTACATTTTTTTTGTTGTTGTTTTAAAAGTTCTCTCAAGTGACTTTATATTCTAAATGTCTTAAAACTGATTTGAAACCGGTGTCTGATGTATGCTGCATCCCTTGGTTTGTGAACTCCTTCCAGCTGCAGTTGTTTTATTTCATGTTGGCATTGCCTTGGGCAAAGAAAGCACATTTATATTGACATGTAATGATTTATTATAGCTTATTGGAAGATTCTGCAGATAAGCACTTTCTTTATGTAGTGTATTGAATTGCTATAGATTTAGGTCTTGAATTTGTATTGCAAATATTCACCTTTTCTTTTGTCACTAGTGACAAAGTATTTAAATTTCAACAAAAAATAGGAATGGATGGCAATTAGATGGAATGTCATTTTACAATCCAAGTTAAACAGTCAGTGTTTTCATATTAAACAGAAATTGCAGTGATGGCAGGAGATAAGTTACGTGCTTACCATTTTGAGTGTGTAGTGTTTGAAGGTTTCCTTTTGGGATGTCAGGGAGCCTGACGTTACTTGTAAATCGTGGTGCCTGATTGCACTGCTGATGGTTTAAATCGTGCCCAGTCTTTTGCATGCTCCCAGTTTATGCTTGGCTGGTAGTGCCCTTGTGACATTTTGCTTGTGTTTGGGGGGCAGCAAAGCAAGTGTAAAAAGGGCTGAGGGGACTTCTAAGATAATGTCTTTTGACTGTGTGGTCTGTTTTGATGGTTCGGTGCTCTCGGTATGTCACATTATGGCCATTTTACCGTGCTTTAAGATTACTTCAGATAAGGATTAATTCTGACCTAGTTTGAGAGGATTTCTAACTGGTTTTTCTGTATTGGAGGGGTTTGAGTTTTTAATTTCTCAGTTAAAAGCAATCATTACAGGAACTCCATTATCCCTTTAATCCTCCCTCTCCAGCCACACCAGCCTTGGCAGACTGAGAGCACCGCATTTAGTCAGTGTAAGGGAGTGACATTGTGCTGGGGGAGAGCAAAACCTGCTAGAATTCTTTCTCCCAGCTCTGAGACACTGTTATCACAGGGCTCTGCAAATTAGGAGCGATCGTTATCTGTAATGGTCGAAAAGGTAACAGACAAGCGAATGAATATCACACACAAGGGTTTGACATACCTTCCTTGGTCAGGCCATTTATGGTGCAGGATTATACCCACAGAAAATAGTTTGGGCACGCCATCACTTCAGCAAAAAAGATGCTCCCGACCATGCGCACATCCCGCAGCAGCCCTGCTTCCTGCCACCGCCGTGCCCGGGATCCGCTCTGTCCATCTGTCTGCCCGTGTCCGTGTTACCTTCCTCGCTGGCCAGCGGCGTCCTTGGCTCGGGGCTTTTTGTTCATGCTGCAGACAAAAGGACAGGAGTTGTGGCTGCTGCTGCTGCTGCGGGGCCGGCTGCGCTCGCAGCCGCTGCGCTGGGGCTCTCACATCTGGTGCCTCGCAGCTCGGACAATACAGGGCTGTGCTCTGCTCTCCTCAGGATCCATATTTCTGCTGGAAATGTTAGCAGGGAGTGCAAGCGCGTAGTGCCTCAGCTGTCCTCAGTAATAGGATCTCCCTCTGCTCCTTCCTTCATTGTTGCTAGGCAGTAATAGAAATGGTTTGGAGTTGTTTTAACCCAGAATCGTGGTGTATAAAATCCATTCCGTAGTTGTTCAGCTGCTGCACAGGCAGGCAGCAGTTTAAATGTGGGCTTTGACAGATGCTGTCTTCTGACAGAGCAGAATTTAACGTCACTGCTTGGCTGAATCCCACGTGATTGTTTGCATTCATTTTGACTAAACCCAAAGGCAGACAGGAAGCTTTACAGGCTCTAGCTCTGATTTGATAAATGATACATACTCAGTTCGAGCACAGTGATAGGTGAATTGTATAAAAACTGTATGATCGTTAAGTGAAAAATTAAGGGTTTTTACAGATTGTTCTCACTTTTCCTCGACACTGCAACTTAGATTCTCTAGGAGATTTTTAATGCTAGACGTTCTAGTCCCATATTCCAAAAGCTGTGCAAGGGAATTATAAGCATTTAAATGCTGAAGCTTGATTTAACCCATTTGGCTCTCTTGGAGTACAAATGGTGTGTGCCTTCATGCCAAAGACAAGATAGAAGTGCCTTCCTTTGCTCCTGTTTGCTTTACACATGCTTACTCTTTAAAAGCTGCTTTTTGTTATCTGAGGTTATTCAGTTGGGCTGATCAACACTGATTTATAAGCACATGCTGTTAAGCTGCTTCTCTGCTGTTAATAGCTTTCTGCTATGGTTTGGCATTACTAAGTCAGGGGCACTTCATTTCAATTATTGATGAGCCTAAAATGTCTTTTGTCTGTTACAGACATACCTATGTCGTGAAATTTGTCTTTTTGGTCCTAAGGAAACTTGTGTTCCTTTAATTTCTCTCCTTTCAATGACTGACCCTTCTGTGCTGAAGCATCTTACTCTATTTACTGTATAAATAAAATACCATAATACCTGAGAAAATAGAGACCTAGCAGCATGCTTACCCAGGTATTTATTAGTCACTGTGTTTGCCTACTCTGTTTTGAAAAGCTAATGACTGGCTCTTTAGACCTTTTTCTTGACAAGGAGTAAAGAAACTGTGACTTATCTGGTGTGTCGATTTATAGTGTTGGGGGTAGGCGTGCCCCTTACTGGGAAATAAGGCTTCCCCAGGCAGTCAGTGTGTTTTATTATTCTAGATGCATACTATGATAATTTACTAGAAACATAATCAGATTTAGATCCTCCTAACTAAATCATCTATGTACACTAACTTTCTCTATTAATTTAGTCTTGTTTGTAATGCATGAGTTTCCTAACCTAATAACGATTTCCACAAATCCTTTGATCCTATCTGAGGACATTTTAGGATCATGAGCATATTTCCTAAACAGTAATTATAAATATTAAGTGCATATCAGTAAAGACTTTCTATCTCCTCCAGTCTAACCAAATCAGTGTTTAAAAAATGGTGGGGAGGGGTCAGTGTGGGGGTGGAGCACGAGAAGAGGGCCTGTGTCCAGCACCACTTACTGATCTGGGACCTTTGTGAATAATTGAGAGCCAGTGCATTGAGATGTTCCATATGTGCCCAGATGACTCAATTTCCCACCTAGACACACAAAACTTTGTTGTGCCTGCCCTGTATGATATCCACAGTTTGGCACAGTCTGTTCCTGAAGCACACAAACATGCGAGAGTGGCCAGGAGTCCTCCCAGCTGGCTGCTCTGGGCTAGGGGTAGGAAACCAGGTGGGTTATTCTTGTGGTCAGTGCACCCAGGCGGGAGGAAGGAAGGCTTTTGTCAAACACAAACATGGAAATCTGCCTCTGAGTTTTGAATTTTCAGACAAGACATGTAACCTTGTATTTGGGAAATGAGTTCAGAGCTCAACAGAATGGTTATTAAAATCTGTGCTGTTTCAACTTAATTTATTTGCTACTGCTTTACTGTACCTGGTTCCTAAAGCTTGGGACCTATAGGCAGCATGGTTATCTATTATATTGGAAGGGGGAGAGCTGTTTTTATTTTTCTATAAATGCTCATTAGTAAATATTAAAGGTACAAAAATCCCGAGGGCTGTTTTTCTAAAGAGAATCCTTTTTAAAGTAAATTTAGAAGGGAACAGACATCAGCTCTGGCTTTTAATTAAATGGCCATATCCCTTGTGTGTAGCCTGTAAAGTTCAGGCAGAGCTGTTGTCTGTTGGTATGTGTAAAAATTGTCATCTTGCCTTGTGAACAAATTGAGTATTGAATTCTCAAATATTAATGACCAATTTCTTTCATTCATTCCCTTTTTTGTTTTCTTCCAAGTAAAGTATGAGCAGTACTTTGCTAATCTTATAGAAAAGTAAGAAAAAACTTTGATTTTTGTAGTGCTTTTCATCTGGGAGTGACTGATTCAGCTTTAGAGTCAAAGTTTTGGGAAGAATTTCCTTTCCTTTTATAGCACTTTGTTACTTTCCTAGGGCACTGTGCGTTTGTGGGTATTTCAGGAGGGCAGCTCTTGCTTTGGGCTGGGAATAGGAGCTGCAGGTTTTGGTAATCTTGCTGGGTTGAAGGTTGGAATGAGCTTTATTTCAGCCCAGTCTCAGCACGAAGGGTCAGTTGACTGCTTGTTCTCCATGCAGGGAGTAGTGTGTTCTGTAATGTTACTATGGTTACATCCCAAATTAGAAGCTGCAGTGTTAGTGTTTGAAAGGCTGCCACCTATTAAGGCTCCAAGGAGTAAGTGAAGACGTACAGCCTATGAGGAGCAGGCAGAGTTACTGTGACCAGGAACTGGAGTGCTCAGGAGAGAGAGGAGAGGAGAGGGCTGCTCACAATTCCCTGTGCACCTGACCACTTGGAACTGAGCAAAATGTACCAATGCAAAGCAAGCTTGTGGTGGCTTGGAATATTCTCTTCAAAGAACTTTAAAAACTCTTGATGTGTTGTTTTTAGAGGGTGTTCGCAGAGCTTTGTCTAACTGGTTTTATAAGAAACTCTTAGGTTGAGCCATTCACTAAAGTTCTGTCTTGACAACATTAGCAGAAATTCGTCAAACTAATTTGGATTAATTGCAGTATTGAGGCATGTACTGCTTGGCAACTTCTGCCTGGTGGCACAAGCCCCTTGAGAGTTGAAATACTTAGGCCATGGGTGACCTATCACTATTCCCATATGGATCATGCATTCTGGGTACTCCATGAATACTTTGCAAAGTTCATTTTATCATAGTAAAATGGAGTATTATATCAACTGTAATGTGTTGAAAGCCTTTCAAGGGACAATTCAAGATGATTAATGGCAACATTTTCAAGGTTGGTTATTCTTGTTTTTAAGCTTTATTTTTACCTTCTGGAAATGTGTTAATGCAGAGTGTCATAAATGCTTAGTTTTAATTTTCCATGTTGAGAATTATTATGTATATGGCCAGTGGCCATTCTGCCCTTTTCTTCAAAAATAATACTGCTCCACTATGTTCATCTATAGTAGAGACAGCTTTGGCAAATACTTGGAATTTGCTTGGGTACTTTGAGATCCCGACATGTTTCTTAGCTATCCCAGACATGTCTGTAAGTGAAGGAAAAATAGCAATCTAGAAATGACCACAAGTGTCAGTATTGCCTGCCTTATTTTGCTTAGTAGATTTTCACCATTGCTTAGCTGGTAGTGAAATCCAGTTTTTACACTTGGTGCATTTTTAATAAATGGTCAAGATTTTGCTCTCTGTTCTAATAACACCTAAGCCATAAACTTGGTGATTTCATTAATTACTGAGTGTCGTAATTTTAGCACTTGAATGCAACAATACAGATCAAGCTATAGAACTAGAAAATGTTCCCAGTTATTACAAAACATGGATCAGGTTTTATGCAGTTGATTATTATGTTTTAGTCCATAAGGAATATAAGCATATCCCCAACTTCACGAAGTTGTGAGAGGGGGGAAAGTCCAAGTGATGTTTTCAAGTCAGAAGGGTGTTTCTTGGAAAACATTTCAGGGAGATGTTCTATTATTTTAAAGCTTGTATTTTTTTATTAAGTAAACTGATCTTCTAGGTGTCCAGCTAGAATTCATTCTGTTCTCCTATTACAGGTTCCTTAGAGGATCACAGGTTTGGAGTGATTGAAAATTCACTCAAAAAGCCAAAGTACAAAATAAAAAGTTTTGTGTATTACACAAATGTATATTTGACTACTTTCCAGATGTGTTTCTTTCTTCAATATTGTGTTGTTTGCTTTATCATATCTTTGCTTTCTTCTGTATCCTGATTTTTTGTGTCTTCCTCAGGTATTGCACGCAATTATTGCTGATCTCAAGTGCTAAATGCAGATTTTATTCTTCCAGGGGATGGGCAACATAATTTCATTTGTACTGTGCAGGATTTTTGGTTTTGTGGCTCTCCCCTGAAGAACTGACAAGCCAGTGCCAGCAGTAATATTTTCTGCCTGTCACAAGTGTTGCTTTTGCATTCTGAGAAGAGCAGAGACTTTATGAAGCTTTGATTCAGCACCGCAGGGGAGAGGAGGCCAAGCAGCTGAAGTACCAAAATTCACAGGCAGTTTACAGTGGGAAATGGGCTGGTGTTTTTCCCCTTACCTTATGGGTTGTTTCATCCTCCTGCCTGCACTATATGATCAAGGTACCACTAACACCCACCCCAGCATGAGAATTAGAAATAAAAACTCCAGTTCTTACAGAAAGTGGGGCTCGTGTGGAAGAACTGGTACTAAATATCCAGTTTCAAACATGGAAGATGGAATGAAGGAAGATGGCATCCTGTTGGAGATAATAGGCACTAGCATTTATGCTGAGGAAGGAAAATGTCTTGTTCCAGTTGCTGCCACCTGTCCAGGCCTTTTCTGCCCCTTTTCCTTCAGGCTATCTTCAGGCTCTTGAGGCATCCCACACTTCTCTCCCAACAACTTCAAGAGTATTGGTTTGTTAGGTGGATCAGAGGGTGCAGCCATCCTATCCTGCCCAGCACTCTTCCTGCTGGAGGAGCTACTTTGCTATTTTTTTTCTTTTGTGTGGGACCAATTAAGAGATTAGCAACTCCAACTGTTCATCCTCTCACTAAGTTTTTTTCCTCATGTATATGGTTTATACAGGAATATGGAGACATTTTGTTTGCCTCGAAAATTTTTAATACTGAAATTGGTGAGGCATTTGTTTAGTGAATGTTAAATAATGTGAAACTGAAGAACTGGACTTTGAG